GTGATGGTGTCCCGGTCATGTTTTGAAGGTGTCCCGGTCATGTGATGATGTCCCGGTCATGTTGTGATGGTGTCCCGGGCATGTTTTGATTGTGACCCAGTCATGTTGTGATGGTGTCCCGGTCCTGTTTTGATGGTGTCCCGGTCATGTTTTGGTCATGTTGTGATGGTGTCCCGGTCGTGTTGCGACGGTGTCCCGGTCATGTTGTGATGGTGTCCCCGTCATGTCATGTTGGTGTCCGGGTCTTTTTTTGAAGGTGTCCCGGTCATGTGATGGTGTCCCGGTTATGTTGTGATGGTGTCCCAATCATGTTGTGACGGTGTCTCGGTCATGTTTTGATGGTGCCCTGGTCATTTTGTGATGGTGTCCCGGTTATGTGATGATGGTGTCCAAGGAAGAGATGGTCGATGTGTTGAAAACAGCAGCTGTTTCCAGGTCTTTCTGTTTGTCCCAAAGAGTTCATGACTTCACCTCCGCCTCCAACTGCTTTCATACAGCGCGCAAAGATTTCACACTCAAGCTTGATCACTGATCTTTGTCTCCTGCGACATCACCGTGGGAAAGACTACATCTGCTGCTGCAAAGAAGGCTGCGCTCAAGAAGGCAGAAGATTCAACTCTTGCTCAGCAGCTCTTGCAAGTTCATAAATTTATTTGTAAATTCCTATTAAGTGAAAATTCAACAGTTTTTTAAGAATAGTAAAGCAGCTTGCGTACTGAAGATGCTTTTTGTTGTAAAGTGTTTGCGCGAAAATCTGACAGCAAATCCCGTGTCAACGCGCAAATACCCCGGCTGACTCGCAAGCTCACCACAGCATGCCTCATGGAGTATGAGGCCTGATACGCATCCATGCACATAGAACAAAAACTGTCAAAAAAGACAAAGGTATTTACTTTACCGCAACATGAAAATTGAAATTGAACAATGACTGCATCAGCAAAAGCTGACTGCGAAAAGGGGCCAGAGACCCAAGGCAGTGTTCTTCAGCAATCTCTTGCGGTCATCTCCTGGGCACCATCAACATACCAGGCTCGCAGGACCTCATTGTCCTCCCAGGAGTACGAGGACGAGGATCACGGTAGGTTTTCAATGAAACAGTATATGACTATATGACCCATAATCATGATCACGGTAGCTTTTCTTTTTCAGGCGATTTTGTACCAGTTTTTTGAAATTAGACTCTTGCCGCTCAAGCGAACAAGACACTGGCAGCTCTGGCACATATTCTGACATTCTATCTGGCATATATTCTGCCACTCTGTATGGCACATATTCTTGCATTGTTTTTTGAATTTTTCGTTGAGGTCCGGTGGTGCCCACTACGATGTGCAGCTCGCAATTGAGGGCCGGCAGCGCCCATTGTGATCTAGCGCTCGCGCTTGAGATCCGCTGGCGCCCACTGTGATCAAGCGCTCACAATTGAGGGCCGGTGATGCTCACTAGCACTCGCGGTTGAGGAGGACACAAACGGAGGAGAAAGAGGAAGAGGAACTGGACAGCTCTGATAAAATCTATCAGCCCTCTCCTGGCAGACGGCGAAGAAGGAAAAACAGAGAAAATCCCACTGGAAACCCGATTTTGAAAAGGCCCGGGATTGCTCCTGCAAAGATGTGAAAACGTGCAGCTGTCAAGTTTTGTATGTTGATCTTTCACGCCTGCTCTCAGATGTATTTGTTGTTTTCTTTGTCTTGCTTTCCGCAGATGGTGGACCAGATCCTGAAAGGTGAGCGAGCTTCAAGCCCGGAGGTGATTGCCGTTGTTCGATTTCGATGGAAGGGCCACCATCCAAAAGTGGCAAGAATGCCCCCGGAAGCAGACAAACCTTGTGATTTTTCTGTGGCGCCGAAGAAGCGAAGTAAAGTTTTTAATGCTGTTTTGTGGGTTCATGTGATTCACAAGTGGTTCGCATGGATGCCGATTTTTCTTCCACGTGACGCGTCCCACAGCTGTGGGGCATTTGGAACGTTTGCCACATCCAATTCTGCACCGAACAACCGTTGTCGAATGAACGAAGTCGACTGTCGTGTTTCTTTTCGGGTCTGTCGAGTTTGAGGCCATCATGCGCGCTCGCTTTACGGCGCTCCGCTTCAAGGCCGGAGGGATCGCGAGATGGCGCGAAGCGACGCGAAAACGTGGGAAAATGTGACCGAAACAAAGCTAACAGAAAGGTTTGATGAACAGTTAGGCAAACCGATCTTTTTGAAACTACAGGCAAGTCAATGACGGAGAACGAAAAGGTCTCTGAGAAAATTTAGATCGAAAACCCTGCGAAACGAGTACCTCATGAGTTAATTTAAATACACCTTGACCCGGAGATGCTCTGCAGACCAAGCCGTTTACCGACTGCCTTGTGGCTGTCAAAACGTCGCCAAAACCGATGTGGGCCTGTCCCTTCGCACCGTTCCGTTTCCCCCTCCACTCCGTTTCTTGTTCCTCGCTCTGAACGTTATATATATGTGCCTGTGCGCATTCCGCGCATTGATCGGGGCGCATCGGAGTATTCCACCGTTGCTCCATCGGTTTCCACATCAGATATGTTTCGTTTAAAACAGATGCTGCGAGGACTTTTCATGAGAAGGTCTTTACGCCATCAACCCATTTTTCTACAGCCATTGTTGATCTCTCGCCGCACCTGCGCAGAAAGACTGATACGGGATGACCTCCCTTTGACATTCCATTAATCAACTGTGTCATATCAATCTGTGGCGTAAGGAAAACATTGTGATGCGTAGGGTTGCATAAGCTCCATGTTGAACACACTTGTTGCGTAAGGTTTGCATCAGTACTGTTCTTTGCAAGAACATGTAGAGCGAGATTTATTGCTGCGTAAGCAAACCCTTTGGGGGAACCTTTCGGAATCATAATTGTGTCATGGCAGTTGTCGTGGCGTAAGCTTTGCGTAAGACTTTTTAAACAGAGGCCTCACGTAAGCTCAAACTGCGGTCTAGCAAGCAATGCGCAAGCACCAGCGTAAGAACTTGATGCGACGTAGAGGTGTAATCATACGTATTGGCCAAAACTCTATTTGTTTCGGACGGTTTTGAACACTTTCCCCAAAAAGCTAATGTGAAACAGGTCCCACTCAAGTGTATTGCTGTATCCTTAGCCAGGTCACTTTTGGGGGCCATCACTGCGCTTCTGTCACCTGGTGCCTCCGCAACGACCACACAATCGACCTCCAAAACTTAATCCTTCTTTCAGCAAAGGTGCCTCTACACGTCATACACCTGCATCCAATTCTGGTGTCCGACCGCAGCTGGACACCTCTTGGACCTCCGAATTGGATCTACCGCACACCACTCTCACCAGTCCGTACAGGAAGTTCAATCGTCAAGTCAACCTGAATACAGTTTTCTTCAGATGCCTCCGGTCCTCTGATTCCGCAAATCACATGAATACCAAGTTGCTTCAAGTTGCTTCGTTGCACCGAACTTGACATTGAAGACTTTGTCAAGGAAGATCGAACTGGCAACGGACGGAACATCGGGAATCGAAAGAAGTAGGTGTCGGTCGAATCGCGACGTGGGAGTGTCAGACTGTGTCAGACTTCATACTCGTGTCGAAATCGAAATCGGTCTACTAGGCTTCTTTTTTGCAGATTAGGTTGGAGGCCGTTGCTAGTAATCGCTAGTAGGATGGAGGCCAGCGCTCATAGGTTGCAAGCCATCACTATTAATGTTGACCTGTTTAGTAAATGAATCCAACATAGAGTTAGACAACTCCATGCCCTGATTAGTAAATGCTCTCAACAAAGTTAGACATTTTAAAAAGCGATATCACGTTCAGAAATGAATTATACTAAATATCTTAAACAAAACATAAAACAAAAAAGTAAAAATCTTACAAACTAAAGGCTAAAGAATATCTTTGAAAAGTATCTAAACAACAACGACAACAAATTGAAAAATAAAACTTACAATACAAAAAAGACAATAACTTGGAAACATAATCATGAGAAAAAGTAAAAACTATCAGTTATCCCGGCAAGAAGCCCCACACAGTGTGTGTGAGGTCTATAAGCAGAAAGTCTAGAGATCTAGACGCAGTGGGATTGAGTGTGAGTGAGAGTGGGAGAGTGAGTGAGTGTGAGTGAGAGTGAGTGTGGGTGAGAGTGAGTGTGGGTGAGAGTGCGAGTGTGAGGGAGTGTGAGAGCGAGAGTGGGTGGGTGAGTGAGAGTGAGTGTGAATAGCGATCTAAGCATCAGCTGCTTTTCTACTACCGTAAGAACCCCTAGTGTGTCCTGTTTGGGAAAATATAGATAGAACTTAAAAAGAAAAAACAAGAAAGTATGAAAACACAGCTCTAATTCAATCCCAATTTACTTCTAGTTCAGTTCTATTTCAAGTCAAATTCTAATTGAAATTCAATTCTAGCTTCATACTGTGTTAATTCAAATATATGCAGTTTTAATTATGTCATGTCTAATTCGATGATCACTCAATTCTAATTAAATTCTCATGCATTTCTAATTCAGTTCTACTTCAATTCAATTTTTGATTCTAATTCAAGGTTCATTCAATTAAAAACGCATTTAAGATTCAATTCCAGTCTAAGTCTAGTTTAATTCTCATTCAATTCAAACTCGTTTCTGTTTCATTATACCAATTCTTTTTCATCTCAGTTCCAGGAACCTCCATTTTTTCCATTTCGCAATGCCGTAAGCTGTGCTTGTGACAAACATGCACTTAATTAGCATTCAACCCCGTCCAAGCTTCAGGGCAATAGTCTGGTCCCATTGCCACATTGCAGTCAAAGTTGGCTTGCAACTTAGACACTGTTTCAGAAAACCATGACGGGGGCGTCTCCATCAAGTCTGATTCCGGTTGGCAGACATCGAAGAGGGCTGCAAAGACTCTACAGAGGTCGGGAGGGTACCTCTTGAGAATACTTGTTTTCCAGCCCCCATCAACATCTCTGCCGATCCGGGTGGTCCGAGGTAGCGGTGTCGTCCGGTTCTCCACAAAGAACCCCGTTGTATCAGTCAGACCGTGAACTATCAAGAGATCAGTTGGTTTGGGGGATAAACCCCCAAAACGTCCTTTTTCGATGCGGACCTTATTGCAACAAGCAAATCGCAGAAAGAAAGCAACCACATCCAGGTGCCAAATCGAAGGTAGGTTTTTGTCTGCTGGCTCTGCAGGGTGCTCTACGATCGCAGTAGCGCCACTGATGATCGCACTCCAAACAAGTACTAGAGTTACCCCTAGCAGCTGATTGCCAACTTCAACTTGACGCATCTCTTTCTGTGTGAGGCACTTCAGTCCTTGGAGCCTGCTTCGCGATCGTACCACACGAGGGCCATTCGCGCATGCCACCGCCCTGGCTCGACTCCAGGTCTCGCAGGGCGGCCCAGGTCAAACACCACATCTATAGACAGCGCAGAAAAACCGGCAGCTTCAAGAAAAGACTGCACATCTCCACTTCGCCTTTCACCAGAAAAAAGGTGCGCGACCATTCTTGGGAAATACCGTACTGGTCTAGCAGGGCTCCAGAGCACATCCTTGAAGATCCATGCTTCTTGCGCAAAGAACCGTAAGGCGTCATCTGAAGACAACCGCTCCTTTGGGTCCCTACTCAAAAACCAATCAGCCGAAGCCAAACAAGCTCGGATAGTCGACATTGTTGGTGTCTGTAGCACCAATCCTCCCACCGTGACGCGAAACAACCCAAAATTTCCTCATGAAACCGCGTTGTACTCAAGGTGGCAATTCTGAGCTGGTCTAACCAGTCTGCAGCTTCAGCATAGCACTCAGAGGCCTTCTTCCAGCAGGCCTTCAATGCCTCATGCTCGCTGTGCACCAAGTCAACCAGAGCCGGAACAGGAGGACATGAAGGTCCCTCAGTCTGCATGACAGGCCCGGCTGGCAGTCAACAACTTGCCCTCGATTTCGATAGAAGTCAAAACAGGCCGCAGAGTTATTTACATGATTAACAAGGTCGGTATAGCGATCGTACAGCTTCAGGCAATGCTCACATTGGGTTCCTTGCACAAAAGCTCAAACCTTGTTGATCCGACCATGTTTTTAAAAGCATGCACTGCTAGGGCACTCCGTCGTGCAAAAACCATACGGCAGGCTAAACAGTAGTGAAGCTGCTCGACATGTTCTTGCATTGGCTGGTGTCCGAAACCTGCTTGTAGCACTTCGTGCATGATCGTCGAGTGCCAAGCATTCCATGATGCGTCAAGCTTTCTTGTCCCAACATGTCGAGCAACAGCCTTCTTGAGGATCTTCTTCCATCGCCCAGGCGAAGACAACAAAAAGGTCGCAAGCTCCTCCCAACATTGTTCAATGGGTCGTTCATCCAGCCAGGCGAGGTCAGCATTGAGCCTCTGCTGCTAATGCGTGTCTGTCTGGAGAAGAGCCTATGTATGTGGTTGACCCACTTGGACCAGTTGAAGCAGTTGTCGAAGTCTTGCTCGGCACACTGTCACTTCCGGATCAGGCAGGTGGAATTCATTCAAAATTCTCTTTCTCCCCCGTTTGATTGCTTCCGATCCAAAATGCAGCACGCAGATCCGCTTATACAATCTCATGAAGGAGGCCTTAAGTTGCTCCCCTTGCCTCTTGTTTTGTGGACACCAAACAGCTGCATTAAAAGTGATGGTGCTCATGATCATGATTTCAAACAACTGTCTTTTCTTTTCCAGCGGCATCTTTTTGTTTCCAAAGACAGGCCCTTTGTATCTGGTGAGTAAGTCGTGCGCAGCGTCAAACTTGACCGCTAAGTCCTTGGCAATGCCTGCGCCACTTTGGAGCCAAATTCCAAGATGCTTTTATGCACCGACCAACCGAAGGGCATAGTCATCGTAGTTGGAAGGTACCGAAAGCTGGTAATCATCGTGATAGATGGCAGTCTTGACAGCATTAGCACCTTTTCCCCGGTTCCGTCTTTCCTGGTTTCAAATTCGGGACCAAGCCTGCCAAAACTCCGTCGAGGATGGTTCCAATGATCGTCTTGGCCTTCTCAACAAGGCTGGTGGGGTCGCTGTCACTCAAGGCCAACGCCAGATCATCTGCCCATATGGGCATGAGAAAATCAAGCTCAATAGAAGCTTTCTCCCGTCTCACCGGAGAATTGGAACCATCCCAA